GCAGATGCAAGCAGGGATGGCAATGCAGCCCAAGAACTGGTCAGATAACATCAAAGTATAAGAGGATTTGATAACATCAAAGAGACATGACAATGCCAGAACTCCTGACAGTCAACCGCCAACAGGTCATCCTGGGGAAATTGTTATGGTTTTGCCATATCATATGGTATAAGAAACTCTGCAAGACCATCATGCAAGGCATTGAAGGCAGATGCAAGCAGGGATGGCAATGCAAGAACTGGTCAGATAACATCAAAGAGAGGACGGACGACAATGACATGACAATGCCAGAACTCCTGACAGTCAACCGCCAACAGGTCATCCTGGGGAAGTTGTTATGGTTTGGCCATATCATATGGTATAAGAAACTCTGCAAAGACCATCATGCAAGGCAGTATTGAAGGCAGATGCAAGCAGGATGGCAATGCAAGAACTGGTCAGATAACATCAAAGAGAGGACGGACATGACAATGCCAGAACTCCTGACAGTCAACCGCCAACAGGTCATCCTGGGGGAAGTTGTTATGGTTTGGCCATATCATATGGTATAAGAACTCTGCAAGACCATCATGCAAGGCAGTGAAGGCAGATGCAAGCAGGGATGCAAGCAAGAACTGGGATGGCAATGCCAGAACTCCTGACAGTCAACTGGTCATCCTGGGGAAGATAACATCAAAGAAAGAGGACGGACAGATGCAAGCAGGATGGCCAAGAACTCCTCAAAGAGAGGACAGTCAACCGCCAACAGGTCATCCTGGGGGAAGTTGTTATGGTTTGGCCATATATGGTATAATAAGAACTCTGCAAGACCATCATGCAAGGCAGTATTGAAGGCAGATGCAAGCAGGGATGGCAATGCAAGAACTGGTCAGATAACATCAAAGAGAGGACGGACAATGACAATGCCAACCAGAACTCCATGGTATGAACAGTCAACCGCCAACAAGAAGGTCATCCTGGGGGACAAAGTTGTTCATGGTTTTATGGCCATATCACATGGTATAAGAAACTCTGCAAGACCATCATGCAAGGCAGTATTGAAGGCAGATGCAAGCAGGGATGGCAATGCAAGAACTGGTCAGATAACATCAAAGAGAGGACGGACATGACAATGCCAGAACTCCTGACAGTCAACCGCCAACAGGTCATCCTGGGGAAGTTGTTATGGTTTGGCCATATCATATGGTATAAGAAACTCTGCAAACCATCTGCAAGGCAGTAAGACCATCAATGCAAGAACTGGTCAGATAACATTGACAATGCCAGAACTCCTGCAGTCAACCGCCAACAGGTCATCCTGGGGGGATGGTATAAGAAACTGGTCAAGGCAGATAACATCAGGGAAATGCAAGAACTGAGGATAACATCAAAGAGAGGACGGACATGACAATGCCAGAACTCCTGACAGTCAACCGCCAACAGGTCATCCTGGGGGAAGTTGTTTTATGGTTTGGCCAGTATCAGATGCAAGCAGGGATGGTATCAAAAGAAACTCTGCAAGACCATCATGCAAGGCAGTATTGAAGGCAGATGCAAGCAGGGATGGCAATGCAAGAACTGGTCAGATAACATCAAAGAGAGGACGGACATGACAATGCCAGAACTCCTGACAGTCAACCGCCAACAGGTCATCCTGGGGAAGTTGTTATGGTTTAGCCATATCATGGTATAAGAAACTCTGCAAGACCATCATGCAAGGCAGTATTGAAGGCAGATGCAAGCAGGGATGGCAATGCAAGAACTGGTCAGATAACATCAAAGAGAGGACGGACATGACAATGCCAGAACTCCTGACAGTCAACCGCCAACAGGTCATCCTGGGGGAAGTTGTTATGGTTTGGCCATATCACATGGTATAAGAAACTCTGCAAGACCATCATGCAAGGCAGTATTGAAGGCAGATGCAAGCAGGGATGGCAATGCAAGAACTGGTCAGATAACATCAAAGAGAGGACGGACATGACAATGCCAGAACTCCTGACAGTCAACCACCAACAGGTCATCCTGGGGGAAGTTGTTATGGTTTGGCCATATCATATGGTATAAGAAACTCTGCAAGACCATCATGCAAGGCAGTATTGAAGGCAGATGCAAGCAGGGATGGCAATGCAAGAACTGGTCAGATAACATCAAAGAGAGGACGGACATGACAATGCCAGAACTCCTGACAGTCAACCGCCAACAGGTCATCCTGGGGGAAGTTGTTATGGTTTGGCCATATCATATGGTATAAGAAACTCTGCAAGACCATCATGCAAGGCAGTATTGAAGGCAGATGCAAGCAGGGATGGCAATGCAAGAACTGGTCAGATAACATCAAAGAGAGGACGGACATGACAATGCCAGAACTCCTGACAGTCAACCGCCAACAGGTCATCCTGGGGGAAGTTGTTATGGTTTAGCCATATCATATGGTATAAGAAACTCTGCAAGACCATCATGCAAGGCAGTATTGAAGGCAGATGCAAGCAGGGATGGCAATGCAAGAACTGGTCAGATAACATCAAAGAGAGGACGGACATGACAATGCCAGAACTCCTGACAGTCAACCGCCAACAGGTCATCCTGGGGGAAGTTATTTATGGTTTGCCATATCATATGGTATAGAAACTGCAAGACCATCATGCAAGGCAGTATTGAAGGCAGATGCAAGCAGGGATGGCAATGCAAGAACTGGTCAGATAACATCAAAGAGAGGACGGACATGACAATGCCAGAACTCCTGACAGTCAACCGCCAACAGGTCATCCTGGGGAAGTTGTTATGGTTTGGCCATATCATATGGTATAAGAAACTCTGCAAGACCATCATGCAAGGCAGTATTGAAGGCAGATGCAAGCAGGGATGGCAATGCAAGAACTGGTCAGATAACATCAAAGAGAGGACGGACATGACAATGCCAGAACTCCTGACAGTCAACCGCCAACAGGTCATCCTGGGGGAAGTTGTTATGGTTTGGCCATATCATATGGTATAAGAAACCTCTGCAAGACCATCATGCAAGGCAGTATTGAAGGCAGAACAAGCAGGGATGGCAATGCAAGAACATATGGTATAAGATAACATCAAAGAGAGGACGGACATGACAATGCCAGAACTCCTGACAGTCAACCGCCAACAGGTCATCCCTGGGGAAGTTGTTATGGTTTGGCCATATCATATGGTATAAGAAACTCTGCAAGACCATCATGCAAGGCAGTATTGAAGGCAGATGCAAGCAGGGATGGCAATGCAAGAACTGGTCAGATAACATCAAAGAGAGGACGGACAATGCCAGAACTCCTGACAGTCAACCGCCAACAGGTCATCCTGGGGAAGTTGTTATGGTTTAGCCATATGGTATAAGAAACTCTGCAAGACCATCATGCAAGGCAGATGGCATTGAAGGCAGATGCAAGCAGGGATGGCAATGCAAGAACTGGTCAGATAACATCAAAGAGAGGACGGACATGACAATGCCAGAACTCCTGACAGTCAACCGCCAACAGGTCATCCTGGGGAAGTTGTTATGGGTTTAGCCATATCATATGGTATAAGAAACTCTGCAAGACCATCATGCAAAGGCAGTATTGAAGGCAGATGCAAGCAGGGATGGCAATGCAAGAACTGGTCAGATAACATCAAAGAGAGGACGGACATGACAATGCCAGAACTCTGACAGTCAACCGCCAACAGGTCATCCTGGGGAAGTTGTTATGGTTTGGCCATATCACATGGTATAAGAAACTCTGCAAGACCATCATGCAAGGCAGTATTGAAGGCAGATGCAAGCAGGGATGGCAATGCAAGAACTGGTCAGATAACATCAAAGAGAGGACGGACATGACAATGCCAGAACTCCTGACAGTCAACCGCCAACAGGTCATCCTGGGGGAAGTTGCCATGGTTTAGCCATATCACATGGTATAAGAAACTCTGCAAGACCATCATGCAAGGCAGTATTGAAGGCAGATGCAAGCAGGGATGGCAATGCAAGAACTGGTCAGATAACATCAAAGAGAGGACGGACATGACAATGCCAGAACTCCTGACAGTCAACCGCCAACAGGTCATCCTGGGGAAATGGTTTGTCATATGGTTTGCAAGACCATATCAGGCATGGCAGGGATGGCAATGCAAGAAAGAAACATCTGCAAGACCATCATGCAAGGCAGTATTGAAGACCATCATGCAGATGCAAGCAGGGATGGCAATGCAAGAACTGGTCAGATAACATCAAAGAGAGGACGGACATGACAATGCCAGAACTCCTGACAGTCAACCGCCAACAGGTCATCCTGGGGAAGTTGTTATGGTTTGGCCATATCACATGGTAGAAAGAAACTCTGCAAGGCAGTATTGGAAGGCAAGACCATCATGCAAGAAGGCAGTATTGAAGGCAGATGCAAGCAAGGGATGGCAATGCATGGTATAAAGAACTGGTCAGATAACATGACGGACATGACAATGCAAGTCAACCGCCAACAGATAACATCCAAGGGGAAGACCATCATGCAAGGCAATTGGGCAGATGCAACGGACATGACAATGCCAGAACTCCTGACAGTCCAGGTCATCCGCCAACAGGTCATCTGCAAGCAGGGATGGTAATGCAAGAACTGGTATCATCAAAGAGAGGACGGACATGACAATGCCAGAACTTGGACAGTCCAACCGCCAACAGGTCATCCTAACATGGTATAACAGCCTCTGCAAGACCATCATGCAAGGCAGTGTCGAAGCTGAACAAAAACAGGGTCGGCAACACAAAAGCTGGTCAGATAACATCAAAGTATGAACAGACATGACAATGCCGGAACTCCTGAGAGCCATTTCCAGATCATCCTGGAGGAGGTGGCTGTTTCTTCCACCCTTAGGTTGCCACCCCCAGCAATTGAAGCATGATGATGATGACATTGCAACATTCACTTTTCCTGTGGTTGTTCTAGTTGCTAGAATATTGTACAAGTATTTTGGTTAAATATAAATTCATGAAAATAAGTAAGGAGATATGTACAAACCTTTCCACAAAGTAATAAATTCCTTGGTGACATCAAGATAAATATTAAATATAAGTAGGTAATATTTCATTTGTCTTTTTACTTCAACTGGTACCATATGACTTTCATCCAATATCTTGCCAATGGCGATTCCTCGGTCTACAATCCTGTGAAAGAAAACATTAAATCTCTCAGGGTCAGTTTATTATGTCAGGAATCACTAGGGGCAATATTAATTCCTAAACATGCATTCATCTGCTATTGAAGCAACAAGGCAAATATTCATGAAAAGTTTTCATTGATCAGTTAATTTCTACAGCTTATCAACCTTTTGCAGGTTATTTTAAGCCAGAAAATATTTTTAGATACTAAGAATTTTTTTTTTTTTTGAGATAATAATGTTTTAGTCAGACATGTCCTACTAATTAACCCATGTCTGAGAGAAAAGGTGGACTCATACCTAATCAGAATTTGATAAACAAAGAAGAAATTATAATGTTGATTTAAAGTGGGGATCAATTCTATATCACAAGCAATATATAAACTGATCCCTCACTTTGTAGCCACGTCAGTTTCTGTTTATATTCCAGAGAATGTAAATAAATCTATAAGGGAAGTCTGTATAGCTAATTAATATTCTATTGATTGATTTGTTTTTTTTTTTACAGCTTATCAACCGTTTGCAGGTTATTTAAAGCCAGAAATATTTTTAGATAGTCATTGTAGTTTAAAGGATATGAGCTTGGAATGGGAAATTAGAGAGCAGAGATCAAATTTCAAGTAAAGTTTGTGACATTCACTGATGTGTAAATACCATTGGGAAAGGTATGAATCCATCTCTTCTCCCCTCAGCTATGGGTTGAATAACAGGACAGAATGGGTCCTATAGCCTTGGTTGGCAACAGTCTACCGCAGAAAGAAATGGCAACCACTGCGGGAAAATCTTCTGCCTAGTCAGTCATGAATCGAAAGAGACATGATATATTGTGTGTATCACGTGGATGGCACTTTACTGGCTTTTATCTCTTCTTCCCTCGGCTATGATTTGAATAACAGGACAGAATGGGTTCTATAGCCTTGGATGGCAACAAGTCTACCGCAGAATGAAATGGCAACCTATAGACGGGAAAATCTTCTGCCTAGTCAGTCATGAATCGAAAGAGACATGATGCCCAGGTAGTGTGTATCTCGTGATGGCACTTTTACTGGCTTTATCTATTCTTCCCTCAGCTATGATTTGAATAACAGGACATAATGGGTCCTATATCTTTGAATGGCAACAAGTCTATTTGCAGAAAAAAATGGCAACCTGTTTAAGGGAAAATCTTCTGCCTAGTCAGTCATGAATCGAAAGAGACATGATCGCCCGAATGTGTATTCATTAAAATGGCACTTTATGGCTTTATCTATTCTTCTCTCAGCTATGATTTGAATAACAGGACATATTGGGTCCTATAGTCTTGGTTGGCAACAAGTCTACCACAGAAAGAAATGGCAACCTACTGTGGGAAAATCTTCTGCCTAGTCAGTCATGAACACAAAGAGACAACACACAACAGTAAGTGTGTATTACATGATGGCACTTTACTGACTGAAACCTTTTCCGACATACATTCTAATAATTAACCAATAGCTGAGAGAGAAGAGGTAGATTGATGCCTTTCCCTTTTGTATTTGTGCATAATGGAATATAATGAAATGGAATTGGATTCAGCTCTCCAATTAACAATTCCAAGCCATTATCCATTACGCCACCTGCACATCCAAGCTTACAGCAAGAGGTATTCCCAATTGGATACCCATCTAGGTATTGACCAGCCTTGATATTGCTTAATTTATTTATAAAGCAAAAGTGGTGGTAAAATTAATTTGGGTCTAATTAATGTCCATTAATTGAATCAGCCATAATTTTAACACCATAAGATACACAGATGACGCAGTGTTGATAGCAGACATAGGAGGGAAACTACAAGATCTCCTCCAGAAGGTAGTGAAGGAAAGCAAGAAGAAAGGACTAAACATCAATTGCAAGAAGACAGAATGCATCATTGTTACCAAAAGGAACAGCCCAACATGAAAATTACAAATTGGCGATACTGAAATCAAACAGGTGCAACAATTTAAATATCTAGGAAGTGCAATAACAGGGGATGGTAAAGTGTGCCTCCAAAATTCAAAAGCACACAGGAATAACAAAAGATGCCTTCCAAAAGCTAAACAAAGTATTAAGAAACAGGAAAATTTGTTAGAAACAAAGCAAAGAAATTGCTATGCAATATCATTCCTCCTATATGGCAGTGAATGCTGGACAATCTCTGTACAGATGAATTAACAGAAATGTGGTTCTACAGAAGGATGCTGAGAATACTATGGTCCAAACATGTGAGCAATGATGAAGTTCTATAGGCAATGGCAACAAAGACATTTATACTTAACATCAGAAAAACAGAGTTGAAATTTTTCTGGAATATGAGGAAAGAGGGCTTGGAAAATTTGATACTCACATGACAGATTAAAGATAAGAGAGACAAACGAAAACAATGCATAAACTACCTGGCAAGCTTGAGTGAATGGATGGTAGAGCATGGCTTGGGAGAGATGGTAAAAGCTAAAATTTATTAGGAGCTACAAAGGACAGGAAATCGTGGAGAGCCATGATCACCAACATCATGAAGGAACATGGCACATAGAATTGAAAAATAAAGAAAATGTAAGATTTTATACAGTGTAACCTGGATATAAGAGAGTTAAGGGACGGAAAAAAAGTCAATTATAATTAGCTTTTATATTGTTTTCATATACATTAACACAGGCTCTAATTTGGGACCAGAGAAAATCTCTCTTATATCCGGGTTACACTGTACAGGATAAATACATTAGAAAAGGGAATTTACATTAAAATCAATAGCGACCCATTGTTTTAAATATATCACTGATGATGGAGTCTCTGAGTGCTAACCAGGCTGAAATTGAAAGGTCAAAAGATTGTTTATATTAGTGCACCTTCAAGTTATGGACACTCAAAGTCAGGGGTTGAAGTTAACAAGAAGTATAATTTGATTGGCTGGCCAATCAAAGGACAGTTAGTCCCAGGTTCCTGAATTAATTTTGTCAGAATTGAGTTTCAGAGGTCAGAGAGAAAAGATGTAACAAAAATTATGGTCCCAAACCTTAGCTGAGATGGCAGGCGAACCAAATATACAATTTCTGTGGCTTTTATCTTTCAAATTTATTTACAAACAAACATTGAAATTTTGTTATTATGAAAAGTTCTTTCTTTTCTCTTTGCTGAGAGACTGCAATGGTAGAAATTTATTCCAGTTCAGAGCTAGCTCAGTTTACAACCTGTATGTTCAGATTACAACTTATATATGAAGTAAAATATGAATATAAAGAAATAAAGTTCTATGCCAAGAGTTTCTTTTCTCGCACTTCCCACCTGTGGAACTCCCTTTTCTTGCTTCCCTGATAACTACAATCTTCAAAAGTTTAAATGCAATAGGAATTGCCATCTTCTTGTGCTTTCCTCAGTTTTTTCTTTCTCTTTCTGTAACTGTCTATAGCTTAGTGGCATTTTCACCTTGTTTGGGGTGAAAGGATTAAAAAAAAAAAAAAAAAACATTCTATAGGTCTCCTGATGACAGTCCTTTGTCTATCTTATTCATTACAACTGCCAGATTCTGCTGCAGTTTCCATTGATCGAAAGATGACAAATGCAGGAACATTGTCAATTGTCTTATATCTTCTGGACGAAATAAAGTTGGCAGGGTTTCAAGCCATAATTTTATGTCCGAAATGAACTTGCTCCAGTTTAAAGATACAGCTTCATTTGATTTAAACCATTTGTTAACCTAGGAAACATCAAATAAATAAAACAACCTTGAGTATGATTCTGTAGTGAAGCATTTTTTTAAAAATTTAAATATACAAATAGAAAAAAATGCCGTAAGAATTTTTGCCATTAACAATAAAATTTTTTAAAAAATCCAGACGACATGCATTTAACGGATGTCAGATTTCATTGAAAAATACATCCCTACCCTTACCAGAACGTAACTAATAACTGATACATCAAAATACAGCAATAATGAAAACCCCTAGTCTAGTTGAATGGATTTCTCTGTAACCTTGGAAACGTGAATTATGATTTTTGCTGTGTCTTTAAAACCCAGTAATTTTAAAAGTTACTCCAAAATTCGCTTGAAGATGAAATGGAACTAATGTTTTAATTTAATTACAAAATTAAATTCAGGTTTTTTTCAGCTTCCATTTTTGAAACATGGTTAGAACTGTTACAAAAAAAAAAAAAATTAATTTTAAAAATTAATCGTCAACAAAAATAATATATATATATATATAATATATATATATATATATATATATATATATATATATATATATATATATATATATATATACACATATATATATATATATATATATATATATATATACACACACACACACAAAATTGTGTCCATAAAGTTCGAGCAATGCACTTTAAAAAATTTATAACTTCATTTGTATTTGTGATAGAAATAATCTGTAAATAATGTTATAAAGTTTAATGTACCTAGTTTTAAGTATAGCTAAAATAACTAATGTGATTTCAGGCATTACTGTATATCAGTTGGCAAATGTTTTCCGTGAACTGCAAAATCGTATTACCCTTTGTATCGCTAATGATGGAGGACATGTGGAAATTTAAATAAAATTTCAATAAAACTTTAAAAAATATAGATTTAGTTCTTTCTAATCCTTTTTACAAATTATTTCTATCACAAATACAAATAAAGTTATAAATTTTTTAAAGTGCACACGAACTTTTATGGACACCCTGTATGTGTGTGTGTATTATATATATATATATATATATATATATATATATATATATATATATATATATATATACATGTGTACACACATATTGATATACAATATCAAGAAATAATTTATTAAAATTATAATTTGAATGATAGCACTTTATGGAAAATAGAATATTATGGCCTTTTTTTAAAACAAATCCATCCAAACTTTCATTCCCTCTAATGATTCCATATCTAATGAAATAGAAAATACTAAAAGCATCTATAGAAATTCATTGCAAATGATTTTACTATAGGAATGTATTAGAAATGATTTGAATACTAGCTCTTTATGGAACTTAGAATATTATGGCTAGGATTTATGAAACAAATCCATCCAAACTTTCATTCTCTGTAATGATTCCATATCTAGTGATATAGCAAATACTAAAAGCATCTATAGAAATTCATTGCAAATGATTTTACTATAGGAATGCATTAGAAATGATTTGAAACCTAGCTCTTTTTGGGACTTGGAATGTTTAAAGTGACTATTCAATGGATCAATAAATTTCTGGTTGTTAATAGGAGCTTCATAAATAAATTGCGGTGACTTATGACTAAAACTCACTAATTTCCAAATAGATATCAATGCTCTTACTACTGCTTATCAAACACCACTTCTCCAATCAGGATATCAAACAATTCAATTCAAATGGGTAATGAATGTGTTTCTTATTACGTATATTATTCATGTTGATTGATTGATTTGTTTTTTTTAATGGCACATCAACTCCTCATGGGTCATTTTCTAGGGAGCTTTGAAGTAATAAAAATATGATGTATGTTATTCTGCTTTCACAATTGAATATATGGTAGATGATACTCAGCTTTTGTACATATACATGTTTGTGTGCACATCATTACTAAGGGTGGTGATATGTGTATTTTATGTTGCAGTTGAAGTTATATTTTGAAATACAGTTTGATTTCTTTAAGAAATTGTAGGACATTATATGGATTAATGTGATGGAAATGGTCTTTCATGTTGCTTGTTTGGTAGGTTGGTTTTGTTTCGAGGCCTATCAAGCTCTATGGTTTATTTAATGCCGAAATCTAAATATTTTGAACACAATTTTATTGTTCAATATATTTTGAATGCAATTGTATGTTTTCAACTACATATATGTATTGTTGGTCATTTTGTTTAGTGGCCTATCAAGCTCTATGGGTTATTTAATGTTGAAACCTAAATATTTTGAACACAATTTTATTGTTCAACTAAATATATTTTGAACGCAATTGTATACCTTCAACTACTGATAAAATGCAATGTTGGTCATTTTTTTTTTTTATATAAAAATGAATTGATGATATTTTTACTATAAAGATATATTCTTATACATTCATATTGTTTTGTTTTTGCTTGATGTTTTACTATTTGCTTATAGACGGGACCGTAACCAGTGCTACCACCCTAGGTCAGGGTGGACCTGGGAACAACAGCAATTAAGACCTACAATCAGTTGATCAGAGGTTTTGCTGCTGGATGTAGTTTGACATCATACCTTGGACTATTATTTATGAAGATTTTTTTTGTCATTATTATCATGTAATGGAGGAAGAAAAATAAAAATTGAAAGACAAAAAAAAAAACGTAAAGCAAAAATGAATCTTATCAAGAAACAAAAGAAAGAAAAGGGTCAAGGAATTTCTATCCTTAAATAAAAAAAATAATAATTATTGATATTTTTCATGTAAATTCTTGGTGGTGGTGTTGATAAGGGATCAAGAATTCCATGAAAGAGTTGATGGTCTAAAATGTTTGGGGTCCTGCTTTAAATAGTATAAAGAATATTTCACGTGTTGGTGGGGGGGCAATACCAAAGTTTGTGGATTTTTTATATTTCCAAGGAAAAAGAATATTTTTGAAAAAAAATGAAAGGCAGCAAGTTTTCCTGCTTTTCATACCATTTTTTATTCATATCATTTTTGTCTTCTCCAACTTACCTGCAGAGGAATCTGAGAAATAGACGTAAACTGCACAATAAACAGAGTTAAGTTTGATCCACAGACGAGGGACTGGAATCGGTCAACTGGTACATGAGGTGGCAGTTGCATGATCTGGAAGATTTGTTGATCAGAACACAGAATTCCAACCACATCCCAAGAGTCGACTTTTAGTTTGTCAAGCTGAAGAATTCAGGAGAGAAGAATATGGATAAATAATGTAAATATGCAATTCTTATAAACCCCTCCCAAACAGACCTTATAAACCCCTCTACAGGGTGATCTGAAAATCTTGTCACTCCTACATAATTTTCTATTTCATATGATGGTGTCCATACAGACCTTCACAATGTATGACAGCGTCATTGAAAATGAATAAACTGAACCCAGTACATGTGCTTTGTATTTCTGTATTACTTGTTCTTCTATTGTTCTCATTACTTTTTGGTATGAGCTACCAAGAATTTCAGACAACCCTGTATCACAATGAACTGAAAATAAAGTAGTAATTCATGAAAACATGAAAAATTTCTTTAAATTACATTAACTTGCCATTAATTACATTACTAATTTATTCTTTGTATGACTACTTCTTTATAATATTAATTATACTGTACCATTTAATAGATTTAAAAGGACTGATCAGCAGTAAAAAAAAAAAATAATCATGAAGACATTACTTACCACATGTGGGTTTTCAATGATGTTAAATACACTGGGTAAGAAATCCGGTCCATATTGTACCATGTAGTCAAGAAGTTCAATTAATTGAGCTATGTAATGAGAGGAATCAATTCCCATACCTAAAAATAGAAACAAAAATAACATCTTGGAAATTTAGACCTCTTTAAAACTCTCAGAACTGCAGTAAAAGGAGTAAAATACATGGTCTATTATCACAACATTTCAGCCTCAGAGAAATCCGAATTAAATCTTTATTTAAGCTACAGCAGGACATTGTTCTTATTCTGGTGTCCATATTTATGGATATTTTGTCTTGTACTTTCTTAGACCCGTTTCCACTGAGTTGAAGTCTGTACAACCCAGTCCAGGGATTGAACTCACATTGACTATAATACCAAAATCACAAAGATACACTTTAATCCACTAGGCTATTGTCCCAGGAGACATTCCTAAAATTAGAACTTTAATTCTTAAATCTTATGTTCTTATTGGTTGCTTGCTGATGTCATGCTTAACTTCCTTTGCCACCAAAATGTGTTCAATTCTCAACATTCGGTCCTCCTAAATTTCTTCATTATTTCAACAACTACCATGGATTGAACCTTGTAGCTAATTTTTTACCAATAGGATTTCATCATCTATATAATGCTCCACTTTAATTCTGTTATAGTACGTACCATCTTTTCTACCAGAAGTGTGTGCACCGCTGTCCATAAAGACATTTTGCTTACCCATCAACAAAATTCAATTATTTATCACTATAAATGTCAGGGCATTGCTGACTATGTTAGAAAAACTATTGAACAACTAGAGGTGAGAATTGCTCTACATATGCCATTAACATACAGGCATTTACTGACACTCAAGTCAGCCATTGGCGAACATCTGATAATTTTCTTTCTTTCTTTTTTCTTTTCACTAAGCAAAGCAGGAATGCTACTAGCATGGAAGGGGTTACAGAAAATGGGAGCAAGAGTAAAAAGGTGTGAAAGAAGAAAGGATGAAGAGAAGGAAGGGGAATAGATCAAGGCATCTGGAGATGTCAATTGACATTGCATTTGAATATTTGGAGATTATAGCTATTGGGGAAGCAAGTAAGAGGAAGGGAGTTCCATAGATGAGAAGTGCGAGATGTGAAGCTATTGGAGTAGAAGTGACAGCTACATTTAACCGTTTTGACAGGGTGGGATTGAGATTCCAACCTAGTAACATGCTTAAACAGCAAAAGTAGCTCGTCAGAGCAGTTACCATGAAAGTATTTGTAGAAAAAAGAAAAGGGAAGTGACAGTACGTCTGTGAGAGAGCAACTGTAAATGAGATGACAGATCAGGGCCAATCACATTGCATATCTGTCTCTGGATTTTGTCGAGGACCTTAAAATGAACAGCGGGGGCTACCGACCATATGGATACTTGTAGGAAGAACTATTAAAAAGATTTCTTCTCTGTTTTGCACAGAACCCAGACAAAACACTCTCTGACTATCCTAGAAGATGTGGGGATGAACACAAAGCATCTGGCTCTGTGTAGACCAAGAGAGCTCAAACAGAAATTGAAATTGTTTGAAGAATCATTGACTCATTCTGGATGACATTTTTTTCACCCACTCCATAGTCCTCTTGTAAGATTTTATTTAAATCCCTTCAGTAATTTAATTCCAATTTATTTACTTCTGACGAAGTATCGGATGAAAGGCACCTTAAGTTTTATCTGATCAGATTGTAATTGAGATTATATTTATGACATTCAATATAAATCTATGATCCCAACTTTAAAATTGGTCTTATAGTATGGTAAAAGAAATATATATATATATATATATATATATATATATATATATATATTTATTTAAGAAAAACAGACCACTTTAAGGTACCATTGTAATAATTTATTTCACCAGAGTCCTTTTAAAGGACGCCGGATCATCATTTTCGTTTCATTTCATTTCCAAAAATATTGGGAATATATATATATATATATATATACACACACACACACATTATTCGGGCTATTGTATTGTCCCTATCTGATAGATAGATAGATAGATAGATAGATAGATAGATAGATAATGTATCTGTCTAGATTTCTGAGATGAGGTATTATGTACCCTATTTACATTATTTGGATTATTGAGATATATATATATATATTTTCGAACCTGTATCCTATACGAAACCATCATATAGCCTGACGTGCTTTTACCGATTTCACCACATAAGATCAATTGGTTGTCTTCATCTTTGTCATTATATTTATTACAATGTTTCGGCCGTTGTATGCTCTGGCCTTCTTCAGGTGGTTGGAATGTTGAACTGAACCCTTTATTTTGCTTGCTGGGGTAGACTGTTCTAGTTCCACGTGCCATGTTTAATGGATGTCAGTTATCAGTTATCTCCTGTTAATTCCCCTCTCAAAGTTCTCCACTGCCTTAACTGGGTATTGAACTCACACTCTTTGGGTCCTGTCACTGAATCTAACCAATGCCTTTATACTGTACTTTAATTATAGTGGAACTGTCCACTTATTGATAGAGAGTAATAAAATTATAATAACAATATATATATATATATATATATATATATATATATATATATATATATATATATATATATATATATATATATATATATATATATATATATATATATATCTCGCTGTTTGACATTTGTTTACATTTGTAAAAACAATACACTAGACTACTTAATATAGATATATTAATCATATTAATCAAAATAACAAAACAATTTTTTTTTATTTGGCCTGCAGATTTTGTCTGTTGATGGGGAGGTCTGTAGATAAAAGGTTTGTCTATATATCATGGACTCTGCTGTCGTTGATCGACACGGGAGTGTTGACCCAAGCCTTTTATGACGTATGAGGGTCAGGCAGCTCAGTTCTTAGGAACTGGCAGCCAGACAACCTGTACATATGATTTGATTATAGTGGCGAAGGATTAATGTAGAACCAAACACACTTTTTGAAGGACCTGGTGCACTACGTACTATAAGGTCCTCCAAACAACCCTCAACAGGTTTTGAATTCATAGTTGTCTTTCTTCTAGACCAGTTGTCATCCAATGTTATAGAACCCAGTCTGTCCTGCTATTTACCCATAGCTGGAGAGAGAAGAGGATTAATACCTTTCCTAAGGGTATTAGCATGTAAGTGAATGTAATGGATTTGACTGGAATTTGAACACAGCTCTCTGATTCCTGCTATCCACTACTCCACCATGCTTCCTATATATATATATATATATATATATATATATATATATATATATATCCACATACATACACACCACACACAAACACATTGATCTAATCAAATATTAACAGAAAGTTTAAAAAAAAGAGATAAAAGAACAGAAAATACTAGGAAGTAAGTTAAATGACAAGAATAAATAAAAATTCAGAAAAGTGATTAAAATTACGAACATACATTAAAATAGGCAAAGTTTTCTGATAGGTTCATTAATCAAATTACATTTCATGACTTAACAATCTGCTGAGGAAATTTTAGTATTTTTTTTTTTTTTTACAAGAGATTATGTTACTTTCCTTATAATTATTTGGGAATGGTCATGGGTTGATACGTACAGAGAGCAGCATTCTTTTTACCTTTTAATTTAGCAAACTGGTAATTCATCTTTTCAATCATAATATGGCCGCCTTTTAGTACTGGTCCAATGTACATCCAGACTGGACTTTTTTCTAATTTGGGGCCCCATTCAAGAACATAAGCAGAGAAACTGAAAAGGCAAAATATTTATTATTATAAAACAAAAACTGCAGTTGGGATGATATGAGTTAAAAATGTATCTCTTGCATAGCTATGAAATAATACGTAATTAATGATAAGTTTAAGAAAAAACTGCATTGGGATACCTTCTTTGTGCATTCTGGATATGTAGGTGATCATGCTTGAGTACTTTATAGTAAAATTAGCCACAAAACAAAAACGTTTATATATACACACATTAATCGATGAGTCACAGAATCTGACTGAGTCTATGAAATACTTCGGGTCTATATCTATATTATTAAATGTGTAATTTTTATTATTTAATGTCTTATAGAATGCAAAGATGAAAATACTTGTAAAATCTATATTCTGCTTGTTATCTTTGCTAATTTCAAAGAAGGGAAGGTCAATTAAAAAAGACCAATGCCTATGTGTTATTTAATGTCTTATAGACTGCAAAGATGAAAATACTTGTAAAATCTCTATTCTGCTTGTTATTTTTATTAATTCCCATGAAGGGAAGGCCAATTAGAAAAAAAAAACAATGCATATGTGTTATTTAATGTCTTATAGAATGCAAAGATACAAATACTTGTAAAATCTTTATTGTGATTGTTATCTTTGCTAATTTCAAAGAAGGGAAGGCCATTTAGAATGTCTTTTCAATGTAAAGATGAACATTTTTCATCTTGCAAAATCTAGAGGAAAACCTGCTGAAATTAAATGGAAATATTTGTTGTTTTGATGGTGATATTGGGCAGTGTCTTGTGAGAAAAAGAGCCCCATGTCTTATAGAATGCAAAAATGAAAATACTTGTAAAATCTTTATTCTGCTTGTTATCTTTGCTAATTTCAAACAAGTAAAAAGTTATAACAATTTTGACTAAAGGAAATGTAATTTGGGCAATGATATATACATTTTCAGTTGTTTACTAAATGATTGCTGGATATTGAACAATCGTGAAAAAAAAACAGACTGCATGAATTTCATTTCTAATCCTGAGGTATCTCAGGAAATTCATTAAAACATTCAATTGGAATATTCTTGTTATATAAAGTTACATTTAACTGGTATTCTATGATCGTTGATATGAGAAAAGTCAAGCCAGAGTCAAAAAATACTTCCCAACAAATGGTATCAAAGAATACAATCCTTACATGTCATCATTATTTTATTTAAAAAATGTTAAGGGAAGAGCATTTAGAGAAAAAGACATTGGTTCTATTTACTTTCTTATAGAATTCTAAGCCAAAAATATTTGTAAAATCTCTGTTTAAAAATTTTATTTTTTATTAATTCCCAAGAAGGGAAGGCCATTTTAAAAAAAAAAAACCCAATGCATATGTGTTATTAAAATATTATGGAATCAAAGATGAATCCTCAAGATTAAAATTTTAATAAAACATTGCTTGTTATCTTTTTTAATTTCAAGGAATAAAAGGTCAATTAAAAAAAGACGAATGCCTATGTGTTATTTAATATCTTATAGAATGCAAAGATGAAAATACTAGTAAAATCTCTATTGTGCTTATTTTTATTGATTCCCATGAAGGGATGGCCAATTAGATAAGAATTGTAGTATACAAAGATGAAAATATTAGTAAAATTTGGTTTAAAATTTTAAAAAAATCAAAACATAATTATTGTGGATAATGTTTCATTTACTAAAAACAAATGTTGAAGTACATAATTGTCAAACATTAATGGTTGACAATATTTCATATAAGAAATGAAGTGGAAGTAAATACTAGTCAAAAATTCATAATAGTGTCAATGCTTCACAATGTTAAGTTATAATAAGATAATTCCTGATAATTTGTTCTAGACATCACCTTATTACTTTACAAGCTGAAATATTACTTGAAAATTCTTAAGGTTACCTGGAAATCATGTAATGTTCATTCAAAGGTGCCTTCATCAAGAACTGAAGATTATCCAGACTGGAATCAAGAAACACTCTTGCCCAAGACATGTTGGATTGTTCAAGAATTACTCTCATACTTCGATAGATTGAATCCAAGCCTTGTATCAAGAGAGACACAGTTGCTGGGTTTGTGCTGACAACCTGACTGTCGACCACTCTGGTGCTGTTATAAGTGTCACGTTTTTGACGATTAGGAGCAAAAGAATGTAGGAGTTTGGAAAGAGCGGAAGAAAATTCTTGGAACTGAAAAAGGAAAGCAAAACCAAAACAAGCTAAAATCATGTAGAATATATTTGGAAGTATGCAACTAAGGATTATTTTTTAATAACCTCTAAAAATCTTATATGGAAATACATTGCACAAAAAAGAAATCTGAAATATAAAAAAAAGTGTAATTAAATAGACCATGTTTTTGTACCACTGGCACCAAATGTTTCAGAGTGCATAGAGTATGGGGATGTGCAGGTCGTGTAATGGGTAGCAGCTTGGAATAGAATATTTAGAATGCTGTATTCAAAATCCAATCAAGTACATGACATTCACTTATGCACAAATATCCTTGGAATTGTATGAATCTATATTTTCTCTCCACAGCTATGGGTTAAATAGCAGGCAAGACTGGACAAGATTAATTAATTAATAATCTCCTTACATGTAAGTAGCTCTACAATAATCAGCTTACAGCCACATCATGTTGAAACCCCTGTAAACATGATAAATCTTAAAAAATAAATCAGAGGAAGCATCTGGTTAGCAAGGTTAAACTAAACTACTGTCTTTGAGATTTCTCGGACATTCAGGCAGGTAAATGTTGTTAATACTGCTTATTATAAAACAGAGCATTTACTTAAATATTTGTCTCTATAAAAAGAACTTATAAACAAAAAATACATTAAAACAGAGAGAGATATATATTTATTTTTAAAAATGTCACCCCAAATGCAAAATTTCTGAAATCCTATATAAGTATAGTCGTACTATGACTTTCTGGAGCCTTCTAGAACTTTTTTATGTTTACTTGTAAGGTTATATATTATGCTATAAACTCTGTTAAATGTGTTAAAAATACATAAGTGTCTATCCAATTACATCATTAGCAAATTGAAAAATAAAGCTTCCAAAAAAATTATTTTGATTTTTTTTATCCTTGTTGCATATAGGGTAAAATCAAATTTTCAGTTTCAGGGGTGACCTTCATCAAGAACTAAAACAAAGAGAAAATGCCTCTTTCATTACTTGTGAACAAAAGGGTTAAAAAAAATCAAACATATATATATATATATATATATATATATATATATATATATATATATATATATATATATATAAAATCTGGTTGATTGCTCTCTTGAGAAAATGGTAATTGTAAAAACAGTGGCTCATATCACTATTAACACATTGTTCTTCAACCAAATTGAATTGAGTTCTCCAGGTCACTGACGGATTTCACATAAAAAAAAACGTTAAAATTTCCCTTCCTCTCTGCTGTGCAATGATAGCCTAGGGTAGAATCTTTAACTGATACCAATATAGTCATATTTATACCCTGGCGTATAATAAATATTACGTATAGTTAAACTGAAGAGCATTGTCTGTCTGTCTGATGACTAGAATACCCAAGATATATATATATATATATATATATATATATATATATATATAAATATCTGCGTGCAATCTGTGGAGTTAAGCTTCAAGATAGGACATCTAATGTAGACCTGTTTAACAGGTGTAATATTGGAGGAATCACTTGTATTTTTATCATACAGTCTCAGTTACGGTGGACTGGTCATGTCTTGAGAATGTCTGATGACAGGATACACAAGATCCTAATGTACAGCCAGTTAGATCAGGGCTACAGGAATGTAGGACACCCATGGCTGAGATACAAAGACAAGCTGAATAGCAACTTGTCAGCAGTCAATATACCACATAACACCTTTGAGCGCTTAGCTTTGGAGCAGGTAGAATGGAGATCAACGTGTTTTAGTGGACTCAGCAATTTTCAATCTGCTTCTCTGAATCATCTTCAAGAAGCGAGAGCAAGATCTAAAAGGTCAGCCAATCTAACAATGATCTCATCTCACAATCCTCACACTTGCTCCATATGTTTCCTCTTTTGTAAATCACTAGCGGGTCTTAAATGCCACTTAAGATTATCGCATAAACTTTCATAACTGAATCAATAAGCAGTCAGATCCTCATACGTCGAAACTGATGGGAGAGTCCATTATATATATATATATATATATATATATATATATATATATATATATATATATATATAATATATAATCATATATATTTGTAATGCATAAATTTTTTTTTATTTCATTTTTTAATACATGCACATTGTTTGTTTTTGTCTACTGCACAGTATAGTAGGGTCAGTTGGGCACCATCTGTGAGAAAAAGAGCACCATGACGCAATTTGCCTTGCCAGAAATTTGAAAACAGCATGTACTGTTTTGCATTTGCACCAGAAGCTCCAATATGAATATTTCAGAGTGTTTGGGTGTCAATCTGAAGACAGTTCAAAGGATTCAGAAGGAGTTGGATGAGTCTAATTGCGATTACAAAGGTATGGCAGCTTGGAAAACTCACTCTGATCATTTTGATAAGAATACTAAATTTGTCGGTGAGGGCCTCAGGCTCAACACAGAGGGCTACATCAAATACCTTGAGGGGGTAGCACTAGCCCAGTTCAAGAGGGTGGTTGTTAGAATACTGTCTAGCAACAGGACTTTGCATCATGCCACACAATCAGGAAAACTCAGTCATGGCTTTCAGACAATTTCTGCAACCACATCACCCTTTATATCTGGCTGCCTAACTCCCCAGACTTCAATTCTTATTATGCGAGAGATCAACAAAACTCCTTGTAACACCAAAGATGAACTGAAGGCAAGAATTATGGTAATATTCACCAAATTAAACAAGGAGACTGTCCAAAAGAGATGCAGGAGATTCTGAATTTGTCTGGAGGACATGGTTGAAGCCAATGGCAATTTTATTGAACAAATTTGCTCTTTACTATTTCAAGATATTATTGTGTAATTGTGGTAAATATATCTGTTAAAATGAGATGTCAGTGTTATTTTATTTTTTTTTTTTTTGCATGATTTAGGCGACAATTTATGCATCGCATATTTAATGGGTTTTTTTAACCTTATTTTTTATTGCCTTGCTTGGGTGAAATGTGAAAAAAAATAAATAAAATGTTTTTCAACAAACAATTGAATCCTAATATCCAAACTGCAAATTGGATATGTCAAGATGAAACAAGTACAGAAGTTTAAATATCCACAAAGTATTTTAACAGAAGAGTGAAAATTTGACACCAAAATGTAATCACACATGCTTTCCAAAACCTAAGAAAAATGTTAAGAAACAGTAAAAATTAATTAGAAGCAAATAAAAAGATTGCTGAATTGGAAAGTGATATCAATCCTTTTGTATGACAGGGAATGCTGGACATTCTCCTCCAAAATGAAGACTGGAGGCAACAGAAATAGTGAAAGATGTATTCCAAAAAGTAAGCAAAGTATTAAGAAACAGGAAAAATTCATTAGAAACAAAGAAATGATTACTGAACTGCTATATAATATCAATCTTCCAAGATTGCAGCAAATGCTTGACAACTTCACAGATGAAGAAAAAACTGAAAGCAATAGAAATGTAGTTCTACTGAAGGATGCTGAGAATATCAGACAGTGCATGTAAGCAAAAAGAAGTACTTAAGGAAAAAGAAAACAAAAAGGACACTTAGGAATCAGCTTAAATTTCTTAGATGAGGAAAGAGGACTTAGAGAACTTAACACTCTCATGACATATCAAAGACAAAAGGGACATGTGGCCACCCACCTGACAAGCTTGTCTGAATGGATAGTGGAAGAGAAGAGTGGGAGGGATGGTAAAAAGACAAACATTACTTAGAGATAGGAGAGCCATGATCATTCATGTCCTGAAGGGATATGAAACATAGAAGAAGAAAATACATGCTTGCATATGTAATTGTTTAAAAAGGCATGAAACTTGCAGCTGTATTTGCTCTTATGTCCATATTAATTTATAGATTTACGTTTGTAGGTAAAAAGCAGAAAATGTTAAGCAGTGATACATTCCTGTGGCCTGAATTTCAAGTAAAAGTGAATGTTGAAGAGGTTTATGGTAGAAAGTTGCATTTCAGCTTTTGCTGTGACCTGACAAGTCATGATATATAATGGGAAATGAATGCAAATCAGACAATGAATCCAATAGTGGCTGGCCTCCATTGTTATTTGCTTGTCATAACAATTTTATTTGCTGTGAGAAAAAAAAAGATTATTCACAATGATTTACAAGTCACAAGCAATGCATTTATGAAATAAAATGAGTATGAAGTGGGAAAAAAATTAGTCAGAAAATATTTTGTAAAATTATTTGCTATGCATATCTCATCAGAAAAAAACAAAAAAACATCGTCCACTGTAATTTCATTCTAAAATTCATGATTACAGTGTTTTCATAATAAAAAGCATTGAACAATTCATTTTCATTGTAAAAATAAAATCAATAGTAAATGCATTTTACAGAAGGAAAAAACAGCACTGTATGTTGTAGTAACATTGGAAAAAATCATTTTTTTTTGTAAAAATTTTCATATTAAAAAACAAAGTCAAGGCATTTTCATGGTTTGGTTTGGCATATCAACCTCAATGGGTTATTTAATGCTGACAAGAATTTTTACCTGCAATACATCTTTCGAAAAAAAAGATATTACTAGCAATACATTTTTGGAAAAAAAGTATTGCTAGTAATATTTTTTTTTTTGAAAGATGTATTGCAGGTAATAATTTTTTCCTTCAAAGGTTCATGCTAGTATTAAAACCTATTTTTATACTTTCATAGTGTTTTGAACCCTGTTGGGGGCAGGGGTAACTATTTGCCCATAACTGGGACACTAATAGGTGCTAACAAGCTCCTCAAAACCTCCTGATCAGAGGCCTTGCTGTTGGATGTAGTTTATCATCATACCCAAGACATCATTTAAGTCACTTGTAAACATTTTTCATGGCAAACATTCTCCAAAACATTTTCATTGGTAAACATCATATTTATATGCACTGTCAAAAAAACTTTTGTAAACACAAAATTTTTATTGCATTTTCATGAACGTAAACATCATCATTTGGCCAAAATTATTTTTAGTTTGGTAAATCATTTGTAATACAATCATTTGGTGAAATTTTGAAGAAACACATCATTTGGCACTTTCAACAAAATCATTTTCCAAGTACACATCATTTAAAATTTTGAAAAACTTTTGTACTTTCGTCAAGTATAGTACACATCATTTGGTGAAACACTTTCGTAGTACACATCATTTGGTCAAGGCACTTTCGTAGTACACATCATTTGGTCAAGGCACTTTCATGATAAACATCACTTGGTCAAAGTATTTTCATGGTAAGGACTATTTGGTCAAAGCACTCTTATGGTAAACATGATTTTGCCAATGCCTTTTCATGGTAAATACATTTTCATAGTAATATATGTTATGATGCTCATTGAAATAAAAACTCTCTTACAGAATATGAAAGTAATACATACCAGTGTTTCTAGTTGATCCAGTGGCAATTTTGATAACACTTTCTGAATAGCTTGCACATCATGTGGGGTGCAAAATGATACTGGATGATTTTGCTGTTGACCCATACTCATACCAGTATGCAAGAAATGTTCTTTGCACAACACATTGGAAACATTATGGTTATTCTCCAAAAATACCTATTCAAAAAAATTTTGACAAAAGTCAGTGAATCTTATAAAGGAAATAGAAGAAAGGCAAAATAAACAGCATTACATTCAGTTAATAATTTGCTAATCCAGATTCTACAGTAAAAATTATTATGTAATTTTTATAATGGAAGTTGGTAGCCAATTTAATAAGTAAAATCATTGGCAAAGCAGGTTTATATAAAAAAAATTGAACAATTTTTGGAGTGACTATCAATGGTCAGTGTATTTTAAAATGAAAATCGCTGGCTAATTTCTATAGTAAATCATTGGCAATGCAGTTTTATAGTAAAATATCATTGTACAATTTCTGGAATAAAAACAAGAACCAAAGTATTTTCGTATAGACATCTAGTATTTGATTTTTTTTTTTTTTAACAGCATTCCCAAAGATTGTCCTTTTCACAATTTTTAGATGCCAACATTTAAAAGAAATTTCATTCATTTTATTTGTGAGATCAATCATTCTCAAATGCTATGATCTGTTGGATGATTTTGATTTTGTTTAGAGATGCATCAAACTCTATAGGTTATTTAATGCCAAAATCTAAATATTTGAAACACAATTTCATTGCTTCAGTTAAATATATTTTGAACGCAATTGTATGCCTTCAACTACATATATGTTTGGTTGGTCATTTTGTTTAGCGGCATATCAACCTCTATGGGTTATTTAATACCGGAATCTAAATATTTGGAACACAATTTTATTGCTTCAACTAAATATATTTTGAACGCAATTGTATACCTTCAACTACATATATGTATTGTTAATCATTTTATTTAGTGGCATTTCAATCTCTATGGGTTATTTAATGCTGAAATCTAAATATTTTAAACAGAATTTTATGGCTTCAAGTAGATATATTATGAGCACAATTATATGCTTTCAACTACATATATGTATTGTTGGTCATTTTGTTTAGTGGTATATCAACCTCAACAGGTTATTTAATGCCAAAATCTAAATATTTGGAACACAATTGTATGGCTTCAACTACCGATAAAATGTATTGCTGGCCTTTTCGCTTTAAAATTGTATTGTTCATTTTTTAATATAAAAATGTATTGCTGGTATTTTTACTATAAATAGGTATTTCTATTAATATATATATCAAAATTACCTGAAATGAAATAAGAATATTCATACATATACACATACGTATTTCTTACCATAAAACTTTCTGTTGGGTTTTTGATCATATAAAAGTCACTTTTCCACCAAAGATTAGAATTTCATAAAATAATAAATGGAGTAACATAAAATTATTTAACACTGTGCCAAATAAAGAACATGAAAGAAATTGCAGGAATATTTTGATGAAGCGTCTATTTCTTTAATACTTGATGCGTAAATATGGTCAGATCTGAATGCCCGTAAGTTTTCAATTTGGTAAGTCTTGAACAAACATAAAGTGTTTGTAGATATTAGAGACATTATATACTAATTTCTTACATTTTAGCTTTAAAATAAACTTGTCTTCTGTCATTTGGGTAATTTTAAAAAAGAATATCGTATTTATTGCAACACACACCCAGAAATTATCCAAATTAATGATAGCTAAATGAAATGCCTAAGATCTCTTGTCATAACGCAGGCATTAGTTAATGTGTGAATGAGTGCTGCAAGACAAAGGGGTGGTGGAGAACACTCTTACAAGAAAGTTGGTGTTTATTTTCAAGTTATTTTTACCATATATAACACTTAAGTAATAGAAAACATTCTATCGTGTCTAATATTGCCATTATTATTATTGTGTTTCTGTACGAAGCCTGAACGGTGTTCTCGCGAAACTCTCAAATGTTTTAAAATAGTGGGAATCAATGCTAGAATAATCAAGAACCTCTACTGGCAGCAAACCGCCTGCATAGGGATAGAAAATGAGTTCAGCAGATACCCAAAAATAAAAAGGAGCATAAGACTAGGATGTGTCTTCTCACCGGATTTATTCAACCTATGCAGCGAGGCAATTCTGAGAGAATTATATGTCCTGTCGGGATTTACTGTTGGGGGCCACAATCTTTGCAACATAAGATATGCACATGATACAGTGTTGATAGCAGACACGGAAAGGAAACTACAAAAGCTCTTCCAGAATGTAGCGAAGGAAAACGAGAAGAAAGTGTGTTAGAATGTGTCACGAAAAAATAAATGATTTTGTCTCTTTGACTACAAATATGTATTGTTGGTAATTTTTTTATATAAGAATATACTGTTGGTAAATTTTCTATAAAAATATAATTTTATACTTTCATTTTGTTTTGTTTTTGTGGTTCACTATTTATCTATAGCTGGGGGAACCTAACAGGTTCTACCCCTCCACTGGGAACAACAGCAATTAAGATGTGGTTCCAAGCTCCTCAAACCTCCAATCTCTTGACCAGAAAACTTGTTGCTGGATGGAGTTTATTGTCATACCCAGGACTATTTATAATCTGTAGTTTTATCCCCATGCATAGATTTCTATCTATTCCTACATTTTTTGCTTTTTACTTAAATTATACTCAGGGCCAGATTATGACATGTAGGAGGCCCCTAGGCTAATGAAATTATGGAGCTCTCGTTTGACAGAGTCACCCTCTAACTTGCCCACATCCATCTTGAACATTTTTTACTTGTGATATATTTTAGCAACTTTTACATAGTTTGAATTAATTTTTTGCAAATTACTTAAATAAAGTAAAATAGCTATCTTTTGTTTGTCAATGAAAATATTCTTTAAGAAATATCACTGTTTTAATATTTATTACAAACTAAATTAGCACATATTTCAAGACAACCTTAGTAATAAAAAACAAATTTTTTATAACCAACATTATAACAATAAAATGATCAAAATAAATATGAGCTTGCCATATTGATATCATTTTAGTTTATGAAACTGTTTAGAAGTTATAGCATCTACAAAATTAAAATCACTGGTGTATAAAAAAATCTAAGATTTAAACATTCTGAACATGTTATCTACTTGAAACACAATGGTCCAAAATAAAACATTATTTTTCTGGCTTTGCTTCCTGTAAAGTCAAATAAATATGAGCTTGTCACTAACTTTGAATTGGTTAAGTATCTCACATCACAGGGCATTCTTTCAGACAAGGAACATGGCCTTTGGTTCTCTAGGTCAACTTCTGATATACTAATGATTATTGTGGAAAGAGTCAATCAAGCTTTAGATAAAACTGGAGAAGCTAAGGCTTTTACTTTGGACATCTTGAAAGTAACAGAGAGTGACATGCTGGTCTTCTTCATAAGCTGAAAGGTGATAGTATTTCCAGATAAATTTTTGAACTGATTCAGTCTTTATCAAATTGTCAAATGAAAATCCTCCTGAATGGCAACTCTTCTAGATCTTTTTGTACTAATGCAGGTGTTCCTCAGGGCTCTACCTTTGGATCTACTCTGTTCTTAATTTTCATCAATGACCTTCCTGATGACATCAGTTCTCAACTTGATATCCATGCTGAAAATACAGCCATTTACTCCTCTTGATTGGCAGATGATCTAAAAAATAACTTGCAGTCTGTTGTTAACTGGAGCATGGAATGACTTGGTAATTTTAATGCCTCCAAAACAAAACTTCTCTCACCTGAAAGACCGTTTCCTGCCTCCCCTCAGCATGCCTAATACTAACCTTCATGGGAGTAACTCAATGTGCCTCCCAGGGCTTACATTATCAGCTGACAGAGTGGAAAGATTCTATTGAATTAATTGCTAGGTTTGCTGCTAAGAAAGTTGGCTCACTGTGTTGTGCGAGACAATTTTTCACTATCTTACATATTTATATGACTACCATTCATCTATAAGTTGAATATTGTTTCCACATATGATCTGGTACTCCTGCTATATATTTAGAGATGTTTGATAAAATCAAAATAAGAATCAGCAATATTATTGGTCCTGAACTGGCATCTCAGCTTCAGTCACTTTTCCCACTGCCATAGGTTGCCTCACTGTGCCTTTTTTATAAATATTTTCATGGTAATTGTTTGGATGTGCTCTTCACTATGGCAACAAGACTTTATGAATTTAAGCTTAATATTAGATTGGTGCAAGGTTTAATCAATTCACAGTTGAATTGGCTAGATGGAACCGTAAGTTTTATGCTAACAGTTTTTTTTTCCTCTCACACTTAACTTGTGGAACTAAAGGGAATGTCAAATGTTATGTACCGTCCTCCTGATTACTCTTCTATTGTTCTCACTCATTAATACTGTTTCTTTTTTCTTATTCTTTCATATCCAGTAATCTTTATTGATTTGCCTGGGGTGAAATGGTATTAAAAAAAATAAAAGCTAAAACTTGAAGCAATTTAATCTATCATTTGGAATAATTGTCATAAGAATACATTGTAGAAACAAGAAGGAATTTTAATAAAAGATTATATGAACACAAAAGGGTTCTTTTACAAAACAACAACTAAATGCATTAGTTGCTCACCGTAATGAGTCTGACATTAAATTTCATATAATAAATGCTATACTAATTAAAAGAGAAAGCAATTTATGAAGAAAAATATCTATAGAAAGTGCTTTAATCACTACATCATGCACAGTAAATTTATGTCCATATTCTTAGAACATTTCACCTTTCTTGACAGATCATTTATCACAATGTGAGATATTTAATAAGAGATATAAACAAAAACAAAAGAAACTAAATGAAGTCAGCTTGACTATATACTTGAAAAAATATTTAAAGTAAAAAAAAAATGTAAATTTAATGGCATCCTGTCTTCTTCATGGACATGTGGTTACATCAATGTAAACATTACTTTAGCCCAATTAAGTCCTGAAGAATGAAATATGCCACACAAAAACTTTTTTTTTTTCAGTTTTCCCTTCAGATTTATATAATGATAATGGAAAGAGAAAGAAAAGGAGGCATGGTGGAGTAATGGATAGCGGCTTGGATTGAGGAGTTGGAGGGCCAAGTTCAAATTCCAGTCGAATCCATTACATTCACTTATGTGCTAATACCCTTGGGAAAGGTGTGAATAATCTTCTTCTCCCTCTAGCTATGGGTAAATAGCAGGACAGACTGGGTTCTATAGCCTTGGATGGCAACTGGTCTAGGAGAAGGAAAACTCCGAATTCAAAACTTGCAGAGGGTCGTTTGGGGACCTTGTGGCACGTAGTGCACCAGGTCTCTGTATTCGGCCCTTCAAAAACTGTGGATGGTCCTGCACGAAACCTTCACCACTATAATCAAATCTCATGTGCTATACATGCGGGTTTGGGGATCACTTGTGAATTCCAAATTCCCATGAAACTCCAATATTGGAGCCAGTCAACCCACCCCGGGTGAATGCTGTTACAAGAAGACAAGAAGAAGAAGAAAGAAAAAAATTCAAAAATGAAATCTGCTAGCTTATATACCCTAAACGCATAAAAAATTATTTTTTTCAAGTTTAAAATTACGAGCCTCTCTTGTTCCTGTGCATATGTAGTCGCATCAACTTAAATAATGTCTAATTAAGTCCAAAGGGATAAAATACATCGCATGAAAACTTTTTTCGATTTTGTCATGCATCTTTCTTCAACCAAAACAATGGAACCTACAAATCATACAGAAAACGAAACAATTCAATATACATTTAACAAAAATTCCATCCACCGACCTAACATACTCAAACAAATACCCGTATCTGTCTATATTTCCTCAAGGACACATGGCACAGTGGATAAAGATGTTGGTTAGATCCAGTAACAGGACCCAAAGAATGTGAGTTCAATACCCGGTTAAGGCAGTGGAGAACTTGGAGAGGGGAATTAACAGGAGATAACTGATAACTGACATCCATTAAACATGGTATGTGGAACTAAAACAGTCTACCCCAGTGAGTGAAAAAGAGTTCAGTTTGACATTCCAACCACCTGAAGAAGGCCAGAGCATACAATGGCTGAAATGTTGTAATAAATAAGGCGACAAAGAGGAGCACAATAGTCCTAATAATGTAAATAGTATAAATACCTGTATCTATAAATAAAAGAATTTCAACAAATTCTAGTAGCCTGAAAATATTCAATGAAAATAAAAAAAAAAAAACATACGAATCAGCCCTAAGAAACAGTGGATATTCAATAAACTAGAATACAAAAATGAAAACAATTCAAACAAAAACAACAGAAAAAGAAACATAATTTGGTTCACTCCCCACACCTGCCACAACAATGATACAATAAAAACAAAAATATGGAAAATATTCTTTAAAATAATTGACAAACACTTCCCTAAAAACAGCAAATTATCAATAAGAATAAAATCAAAATTAGTTACAGCTGTAACGGTAACATGTAGAAAATAATAACTAAGCATAATAATAAAAAAAAATTCAACAAAACCAATAACAATTACAACAATAGCAACATCTATTAAAATAATGTCATCAAATGTAACTGAAGAAACAAAGAAAATTGTCCACTTAACAGTAAATGTTTAACCAATAACATAATATACAAAGATAACCTAATTAATGACATTAACACAGAAATAAAAATTTACATAAGTGCCACAGAAAAAAACTTGAAAGATATAACCAGAAAATGTTTTTTGAAAGAAAAAATACAAAAACAACACAACCCTATCAAAATACATATGGAGCCAAAAAGAAAATATCCCCATCAAACTCAAATGGGAAATTTAAAAAAAAAAAAAGAAGCCCCATACAGTATTAACAGTAAAAATTGTAAACTGTGCTTAGAGGAAAATTTAGTAATAATTAGTTTAAAAAACCAAATTAAACTCTTAAACAAGAAAACTGAAATAATGGGTAAATGTAGGCATATAAAGAAATACTTACTATCTAAGCACTAATCAAAAATAAACAATATAATATAAACTTAAAATAAATAAATATAAACATAAAAAAATGCATATAAATATAAACACACACACACAACTACAAAAAAACCTACCCCCTACCATGATTAATACTTTAATATATAAAACCAAGGAAAAACAAAAACTATTGACCATGAAATAAGAATCAAACATTAGATAAATGATAACATGATATAAGCAAATACTTACTATAATACATATACAATATTTAACAATTATGTATATCCACATGTGGGCAGTGTGCATGCAGAAGTATATAATATATATAAATATTCAAACAACAAAGAAAATATTCTATACACCCCACCAACCATAATTAATAACCTAAAACTAGAAAAAATAACTATACCATTCAAGCACTAACTTATTAATAACCAAGCAAAGATATAAGTATACGTGCATACACATTGATATGTGTGTATATATGTGCACACGTGCGTAAATACAGACATATATATATATATATATATATATATATATATATATATATATATATATATATATATAGAAAAAGTTGCAAATTAAAAAAATAATAATGTTTTTTTTATGAAAGTATTTATTTATTTATATATATATATATTTGACATTTCAGATTGACCTCAATCTTTCTTCAGAAATAACTGTTTGTTTACAAGTAGCGTCCATCGCAAGATGCGGATGTCATGTGATATGGAACGCCACTGTGTTCAAATATTCTTAACGTAAATCTAAATGTAATATTTTATATATATATATATATATTTATATATATTATATATATAATGAAATGAACAAAGTCCAACAATTATTTCAAGACATTTTTTATGTTTATATGTTCTTTTTATAGATACCAATATCTAAGTAAATGCTCTGTTTATAATAAACAGTATTACTGACCAGAATGGCTGAGAAATTCTCATGGAAAATATGCGTCCTCCGACAGGAATCGAAACTGTATCCTATATAGAACCATCATATAGCCTGACGTGCTTTTACCAATTGAGCCACAGAGGAGCGTTTCGGTTAGCAAGGTCGATTTTACTGTTTTAAACTACAATTCTCCATGATAAAATCGACATTGCTAACCGAAACATATATAACATATACATAAACACACACACACATATATATATATATATATACGCATATTCCATTTTATGTCTTTACCTGGATCATCTTAGGATGTACAATTTCTGTTAGTATAGTTTGAGTAACATTCGGACCAAATGCATGCAGTTTGCTGAATACTGAGCTCAGAGTTTTATTCGAGGTAACTCTCAGATAATTTGGTAATTCTGAAAATAGAAAAATAAATAAAAATAGAAAGAGACCCAAAATATTTCCAATCGATTCTGATGCTAATATTCTTTGTGCAGTTCTGGACAGCCAAACATGATATTTTATTCTGTCCAGATTCCATTTAAACAACCCAAACTCATTTATACACAGACTAATGTCCTCATCTTCTTTGTTGTTGCTGTTATCATAATATTTTGGCCATTGTGACCTCTAATCTTCTGCAGGTGTATGTTTATCTGAGCAACTTCTAAGGAATTTTGAATTGAACTCTTTATTTAATCTACGGAGGTAGACTGTTCTCATTCCACAATCCACGTCTCGAAATATCTTTTCTAGCACTTATATTTACCACTTATTTACTACTTGGCAAATGATGCAAGCAATAATTTAACAGTACAAAAAATAAGAACTAAAAATGCTATCTCTAGACTGGAATACAAACAACCAAACCCCTATATGTTGAATAAAAGATTCAGTTTGAAATTCCCTGGATTGACACGCACCTGATGAAGGCTAGAAGACATTGCCAAAACATTATAATAGCAACAACAAAGATGAGGACAATAGTCTAAATTTAAATCATGATATCTCCTCATCCTAGAAATTCAAACATATAACCAAAGTTTTCCAAGTAAAAAGTTTCCCTACCCTGAGCATAATCTTACCAGGATATATGGTGTGCTTGGTGGAGGAGGGACGTATTTGACATTTGATAATTTTGCGGCAGTACGCACTTAAAGATTTTAGGCAGTTTTGATTAACATTTCTTTTCATGATTAGCCATAAAGAATTGTAAATGTCTGACTACCTTACACTTAAGTAAAATAATGACAATAATAATATTTATTAAGAATTTATTACAAGAAATATTAAGTTTTATGGAAACATTGTTGAAAATTATGTATTTAGTTACATAATAAATAAATAAAAATAATACAAATTTTGATACTATATTCGATTTGTTGTTAGGTATTTTTAGAATTCTTTGGCTGCAATGCTAAGTTTCTTAAGTTGAACAAACTGGAGCTATTTCATTTACACTTTGTTACCTCTCCTTTCCATTGTTATTTATATTATTCAAACTGTTATCCTAATCTTCATTGCCATATTCACAACATTTCGGCCTCTATATCTCTGAGATGAGGTATTATGATTACTTGCATTATTTACATTATTCAGACTGTTATCCTCATCTTCATTGCCATATTCACAATGTTGTATGTTTTCTAGTGATTGGAATTTCAAACCAAACCCTTTATTTTGTTCACCAGAGTAGAGTGTTCTAGTTCCACGTGCCATGTCTCTTCCAGGTGTCTCAGTTATTTTCCTTTAACTCAACTCTCCAAGTTTTGATTCATCACTGCTGTGGTGTGCTTTGGGTCTAGTCACTGGATCTAACCAACGTTCTTATCCACTGTGCCATGTGTCCTCGAGGACATCTGTGTATGAATTTTTGGGACTTATAACCCTAATCTCTCATCTTAATTTTACCAATACCATATTGCAATTTTTCTGTTATTATTACTTCATTTTTTACCAGAGTTTATATTGCAATTTTTGTTGTTATTCATTGCTTTTCTCTAGCACTCCTTATTACTGGTTCCCATATTGTATTCATTTCTATGATTGGTCAGCTCAGGAGATTTTTGTGGCTTAGCATATGTGCTGATTCCTTAAATTTTCATATTTTCCAGTGATGCTCTCTGTCTATTATTTTAACCTCATCCCACAGAGGGTGATGATCAACCTTTTCCATCCACTTCTCCTCCACCAAATGTATCCTATACTGTATAGGTATTAACTTTTGATACTTTTTTAATGCCATGTCTATTCAGGACATATAAGTAATCCAGGCTCTCCACAGATTCCATTTGTTTATCTGTGAATTGCTATGACTTCTTGGGAAATATAGTGGAATCATATCCTTCTCCATAGTTTTGAAATCAGTTGTCTTTCTCTTAGACTGGTTACTGCTCAAGGCTAGAGAGTCAAGTCTACCTTGCTATGTCACATAGCCGTAGGAAGAAGAAAAATATTCAAGCCTTTCATGAGAGCATAGTTTACAAATTGATCTGAAACTTGAGTTCATGTAAAATTATTTAAAGTTAAAAATATAGTCTTGATGGTTTGGTTGATTTTTTGTTTTCTTTTACTAACTTATTAGCATTTCATAACTTATTATTAACTTATTAACAACTTATTATTAACTTATCAACTTTTTATAGGTTATTTTAAAGCTAAAACATCTTTTAGGATTTTAAAAATATTTTTATTTTTGTGACTGAATATTTACAATTCTTTGGAGATAATGATTTTCCAATACAAGTTGTACTATTTAACCCACAGTTTGAGGGACTATATATGTCTGTATGATTATGGCTCAATGTCTGTAGACTGACAAAGTTATTGCTTGAATTCTGATTTGAAATTTTCACTGTATAGTCTGTGATTATTGTAGACTGATTTATTTTTTATGGCTTATCAACCTTTTGCAGGTTATTTAAAGCCAGAAAACGTTTTCAGATTGTAAGAATGTTTTTTGGAGATAATAATACTTTACTGACAGAAGTCATACTAATTAACCCCTAAGCTGTTGGGTAGGGAGAAGAAATGGATTCATACATTTCCCAAGGGTATTTGAGTGCAAGTAAATGCAATGAAGCTGACTGGAATTCAAACTTGGCATTTCTGATTTTTCATTCTAAGTCATTATCCATTGCACCAGCTGAACATCCAAGCTGACAGTCACTCATTTAGGTACTGACCAGGGTTAACATTGCTTAACTTTGATGATCACATGAGAACCAGTGTTTCAATGTGATATAGCCATAAGCCAATGCAGTCTGGAATGGAGGGTACTGCGGTTTAATATTTAGAAAGCTAGTCTTGCCGTATAATAAGTTTGATCCTCATTGAGTGCTCCATGCTTTCAGCCTTGTGCCATGTCTAAGCTACTCTGAGAAAATTATTTAGACACTATGACGTGGTGTAATGGTTAACGAGCTTGTCTAGCTTGATCAATTATGACTAAATACGGAGTTCAATCCTCACTGAGTGCTCCATACTGTCGGCCTTGTGCCACATGTAAGCTACCCTTAAAAAAACCACCAATACAGTCTGGAAAGGATTAAAATCATTTATTCACGAGTTAATATCAAAAAGACATCTTTATTAAGATTAGTTGTTAGCTATTGGTGAGGCTCCAGTTTTAAAATTGTCCAAATTATGTTTAAAAAAGCTTATTAATCTTACAATACCTGCAGCTGTCTTTAGCATTAACGATGTAAGCTGGACGAGTTTCTCCATCGTTATAACAGTTTGGTTGCAACCATAAAGCGATTTGGCCTTTTCATAAACATATTCACCAATGTTGAGAACATTTTTATATATGTCACTGTAAAAGTAAGAAACAATATTTATATAACCTGAAAACAAAAAAAAAAAAAAAAAAAAACTGTGCACCAGCATCTGTGAATATAGATAACAATGACAATAGATTGTTTTCTACAGTTTATCAACCGTAAGCTTTTACAGGTTATTTAAAGCCAGAGGATATTTTTAGATTGTAAGAATCTTTTTGAGATAATAATGATATACTGATATATGTCTTATTAATTAACCCATAGCTGGAGGGAGAAGAGATAGATTCATACCTCATCAGAATTTAATAAGGAAACAGGAAATTATAATGTGGATATAAAGTTGGGGATCAATTCTATATTACAATCAATATACAAACTGATCCCTCACTTTGTGGCTACGGTAGTTTCTATTCATTTATATTCCAGTGGAGATAACAATTTACCAATGTAATTTCTACTAATTAACCCATAGCTTTAGGGAGAATAGTTGGGTATTTGCATGTAAGTGAATGTAACAAACCTAAATGAAATTGGAACTCAGCTCTTTGATTTCCAATTCTGAGCTGTTATTCATTACACCACCCACATATCTAAGCTTACAGCAGTTTCCTAGGCAGTCACCCATCTAAGTACTGACCAGGCCTAATGTTGCTTAACTTCGGTGATCATGCAGGAACCTGTGTTTTGATGTGATACAGCCATAAGCCAGTAACTATGACAAAAATATGGCATGATTTGTTGATGCTTCAGCTCTGTTATTAATCAGAAGCCGTGATTGCTGGGTTTTCAGGGGTTAACTTTGGTATTGAACGTACAGATGTCTATGATCTGCTACATTATTTTGAAAAGAATCAACATACCTTCTGTGACATTCATGAAATACTTTTGCCCAAATTATCAGTGCAGAAAGAAAAAAATAGACTAAGAAAAAGAAACCAAGATATCTAAAATTCCAAGATGAAAATTCAGGATCTCACCTGTAATCCTCATGATATGTCAGTACAACGCAACAAAAAATAAGACAGTATCAAATTATTTGAACTAAGATAAGCTAAATGGTCTGGTATGACAGATAATGCTGCTTAAAATATTGACTCATATATAGACAAATACAAAGTCTGGCTGGAATGTGTCCAGACATTTACAACATCTTATGAGACAGCTGTGTGACCATGACATAACTTTGCAAACAGAGGGAACTTTACTCCACAGGTATAACTTTCCTGTAGGATTACCTAGCCAGTAACAAATTCAGTCATATTCGGTTGGTTAACTTAAGCCTGAAACTGGGGCTATTTAATGTTAAATCTAAGTTTTATTGAGGGAAAAAGTCATAAAGTGATAGATAAGTCCAGTTTGTACGTGGTTGTAGAAATGCATGGGACACTGATTATGGTTATAAAAAAACACATTGGATTACTGATAGTGGTTATAAAAATACACTAGCCAATGAATTTAATATCGAAAAAAAAATGTCTTACAAAATACAGTTGCTAAAATAATCAAACAGTAATGTCAATTCAAGTGAGAATAAAGCCAACTATCCTGAATTTCATAACAAATTTATATCGCTAAATAACTAGTCAGGTATTTCAACATCTAGGTCATTCTTGTGTGACTTTGTTATTTACTTCAAGACATAACTTGGATTCATTGAGTTGAAAAAAACATTTGGATGACTTTCCTTGAAATCAGTTCAACTATTTAGGCCACTGAATATTGAGTAAAACCTGCACTCAACATCGAGTTAGGTATTTAAAATGGTAAATATACTGCTTGTCAATCAAGCTTGCATTGTACAATCAAGTTATTAAACATTTATATTACACATATAAAAAAGCGTATTCTATCAATGGTCAGGAATGAATGCAAGCATGCCTTCATTCCTAACCACTGAAAATCCCTCCAATATACATATAATAACCCTATTCTATCAGTAATGCTTGTCTCCAATCCTGACCACTGACAATACCTTTCTTCCTCATTATCAATGCATTCCTATAGTAAAATCATTAGCAATGCATTTACATTATACATATAATAGCCCTATTCTATCAGTAATGCTTGTCTTCAATCCTGACCACTGACAATACCTTTCTTCCTCATTATCAATGCATTCCTATAGTAAAATCATTAGCAATGCATTTACATTATACATATAATAGCCCTATCCTATCAGTAATGCTTGTCTTCAATCCTGACCACTGACAATACCTTTCTTCCTCATTATCAATGCATTCCTATAGTAAAATCATTAGCAATGCATTTACATTATACATATAATAGCCCTATTCTATCAGTAATGCTTGCCTTCAATCCTGACCACTGACAATACCTTTCTTCCTCATTTTCAATGCATTCCTATAGTAAAATCATTAGCAATGCATTTACATTATACATATAATAGCCCTATTCTATCAGTAATGCTTGTCTTCAATCCTGACCACTGACAATACCTTTCTTCCTCATTATCAATGCATTCCTATAGTAAAATCATTAGCAATGCATTTACATTATACATATAATAGCCCTATTCTATCAGTAATGCTTGCCTTCAATCCTGACCACTGACAATACCTTTTTCTTCCTCATTTTCAATGCATTTCCTATATAATAGCCCTAAAATCATTAGTAATGCATTTACATTATACATATAATAGCCCTATTCTATCAGTAATGCTTCTCTTCAATCCTGACCACTGACAATACCTTTCTTCCTCATTTTCAATGCATTCCTATAGTAAAATCATTAGCAATGCATTTACATTATACATATAATAGCCCTATTCTATCAGTAATGCTTGCCTTCAATCCTGACCACTGACAATCCCTTTCTTCCTCATTATCAATGCATTCCTATAGTAAAATCATTAGCAATGCATTTACATTATACATATAATAGCCCTATTCTATCAGTAATGCTTGCCTTCATTCCTGACCACTGACAATACCTTTCTTCCTCATTTTCAATGCATTCCTATAGTAAAATCATTAGCAATGCATTTACATTATACATATAATAGCCCTATTCTATCAGTAATGCTTGCCTTCAATCCTGACCACTGACAATACCTTTCTTCCTCATTTTCAATGCATTCCTATAGTAAAATCATTAGAAATGCATTTATATTACATGTACTAACATAATACCCATAAATAAATGATAAAATGATTAGAATTTTTCTCACCAGGATCCATGTTACATATTTATAAGTCTACAAGTTACCTATGCTTAGAATATTTAGAGGTTTTTGATAAAATCTAAAGAAGAATCTGCAATGTTATTGGTCCTGATTTGGCATCTCGGCTTCAATCACTTTCCCAACGCAGGGTCTTGCCATTTTACAATTGAAATAGCTAAACCGTAAGTTCTATGGTAGTAGTTTCTTCTATTGCACTTCTTGCATGTGTAACTCTCTGCCAGCTCCATGGTTTCCAGCTAACTTTTATCATTATCCTTCTCCTCCATCCATTTACTCAAGCTCATTCTTCTTCTAAATGCAATGTTGATCTCTATCTACTGTCCTCTTTATTGCTCTTCTGTTCTTCATGTTTCTCCTTTTGCTTATTATTCAACACTCGGTAACCCCTTCTATCTTAGTGGCTTTACCTCTTTGCTTGGGGTGATATGATTACAAAAAACTACTATTATTTATATCTATTTACATTATGAAGGATGACTCATGACTTGTATACTAAAATTTCACAACATAAAATAATTGTAAATATTTCTAACAAAACTTTATATAGTATATTTATCATGTAGCTGTTGGAAACCTTAGGTAACCTTGACATACCTGGGAAGGATATTAGAATAATCCAGAACCTATACTAGCAACAAACTGCCTACATACTGATAGAAAATGAGTACAGTAAATATACAAAAATAGAAAGGGTTGTGAGGCAAGGCGGTGTCTTCTTGCCATACTTATTCAACCTATACAGTGAGATGATTCAGAGAGAATTAGAAGTCTGACCAGGATTCATTATTGGTAGCCACAATGTTGACATAAGATATGCAGATGACACAGTTTGATTGATAGCAGATAGAGAAAAGAAACTACAAGAATTCTTAGAGAAGGTTGTAAAGGAAAGCAAGACGAAAGAACTAAGCATCAATTGCAAGAAGACAGGATGCATGGTAGTCAACAAAAGGGCCAACCCATCATGCAAATTACAAATGGGAGATACCAAAATCAAACAAGCAATGACCTTAGTAAAACAGAATGCATGGTTGACAATAGTCCGAATAGTGTAAATAATGTAAAAACATTGATAATATAAGAAAAAAGTTGACATTATTCAGACTATTGTCCTCATCTTTGTTGCCATATTTATCACAATGTTTTTTTGAGACCGTTAATTGTTCGAGCCTTCTTCAATGATGGTTGGAATGTTGAACTGAACCCTTTATTTCACTCACTGGGGTACATTGTTCTAGTTCCATGTTTAATGGATGTCAGTTATCAGTTATCTCCTGTTAATTCCCCTCTCCAAGTTCTCCACTGCTTTAACCAGGTATAGAACTCACAACTCCTTTATCCACTGTGCCACGTCTCCTTAAAGACACATGGCACAGTGGATAAAGGCATTGGTTAGATTCAGTTACAGAGCCCAAAGAATTGGGAGTTTAATACCTGGTTAAGTCAGTGGAGAATTTGGAGAGGGGAATTAACTGATAACTGACATCCATTAAACATGGCATGTGGAATTAGGACAGTCTACCCCAGCAAGCAAAAATAAAGGGTTCAGTTCAACATTCCAAACACCTGAAGAAGGCCGGAGTGTACATCGGCTAAAACGTTGTGATAAATATGGCAACAAAGATGAGGACAATAGTCCGAATAATGTAAATAATGTACATAATACCTCATCTCAGAAATATAGACAGATACTGAAAGGCCAAAACGTTGTAATAAATATGGTGACAAAGATGAGGACAACAGTCCGAATAATGTAAATAGTGTACATAATACCTCATCTCAGAAATATAGACAGATACTGAAAGGCCAAAACGTAATAAATATGGTGACAAAGATGAGGACAATAGTCCGAATAATGTAAATAGTATACATAATACCTCATCTCAGAAATATAGACAGATACTGATGAGAAAAGTTGGCTTTAAAATATCAGAAAATGAAATTTTTTCTTTTTAAATTAAAAAAGTTAAGCAAAAAGTTTGGATTGGTCAACAAGAAACTATTTGAAGACACTAGTGTTGCAAATGTAAGCAGAGATAAAAGATGCAGAATATTTGGCACTATTACACTTTCACCCTACCTGCAGTAAACACCCAATCTTTTCTGTATCATTAATGTTGAAATTATTTATATGACTTTTTTGTGCTTAATATAATTTTTATATAATGGCATTGTTGCTCTATCATTCTACTTTAGTTATGTGCATGTAAGAACATTTAAGCAAGTCATTTTTCATCGTGTCTCAATTACTGAACAACTAGAAAGACTAATGCCAATTCTGACTCTGTTACAATACACACGGGGGGGGGTTGTAATAATGCTGAATATTTAAGCAACCAAATCATGACAGTTAATCAAGCATCACAAAGAGAAACTTGTAAACTTCTCAAAAGTAAATGTTAATGATGAATATAGAGCTACATTGGATGGACCTGATAGCTGGGTTAGAAGTTGGGTCCTTCATGGAAATAGTCAATTAACAATACTTAGA